ATTACACGATTGCGATCGTTCCTTACATGTAAGAAATTAAGATGTAAAATAATTTTCTTTTTCATTACTTGAAAACACGTGGTAAAATTTGGACTATTTAATATCGAAAGCTCTAATAGACAGTTTGGGATAAGTTAGTTATGAGAATGTCAAAAATGTATTATAATTTATTAACTTTATAGTTTTTTAAGGCTCTCTCGTTGATGAGCAAGTTGTATATTGGAGTAACGGTACCATCTTTCGATTTTATGACCATCGAATAGATCGGTCGGTTACGTGTATCATCAACAGAAAGTTCTTAACTTATCTTTAGATTAGATGATAGTTCAAAGTAAGAAACTAAAATTGTGACGCATAGTGATGACATGAGAACTTACGTGCGGTATCGTAATCCTTTTCTTTTTGTATTATTCTCTTCCTCCATTTCTGTTACTTTGAACAAATCTTTACGATTCTCGTCCGTGAGAATCGTCCACACTGAATACCGATTGCAGTGTCGAAATATAAGAAGATAATTCTACAATACAGTTAGAACTGGATTAGAACTCGGGTATTATTCGTGAACAATATGACAATGAAGATATTATGTTTCAATGATTTTATCAGACGATTAACGTTGGTGGGAGTCTTCGGAAGTAAACGATTTGTTGTTAGACGTAGCGATTCTAAGAAATATAAAATTTCTACGTACAACATAATTTGTATTTTCGCCTTTTTCTCAATTTATCGTTTCAGTTTCATGATATATATATATTTATTTTGGATATTGCAAGAATTTTGTATATTTTATTAGAATTATCTGGATTATTAACTCACGAAAATCTACTTTTTACAACATATATCCAGATTAACAAAATTATTGGTTATTTTAATTAATCTCAAAGCAATCTGTTATTTTGATAGTGTGTAATGTTTACATATGTTTAAAAAGTCGACTTTCTCGCGCTGCAATATGGCGAATATCCGGTTTTTTTCCTATTCATACAAATATTTAAACTTCTTCTTTTTTATCGTTATTTTTATTTGCATAATTATAACTGTGATTACGATTAAATATTACAGCAATAATCGGAGATGATTAATGCCGATTACAAAAACGAGATGAGAGGAATTTGGTCAATTGACTACTGTGGTGACAGTGTGGCACGAGGAGTCGAGCTGTCGCGCAACTTCACGTGTCACACAGTGCACACGTCGGCGATCGTCGCAAGGGATTCGGGCCATTGTATACATTGTACACGCTTGAGTACGCCGGATACGTCCGTACAGTGCACGGAGCAAACCTGTCTCGCCGTTTTCTTTCTCGGAGAAATCTCACAAACTATTATAACTACAATGGCACCGAAACAGAGGATGCGCATCGCCAACGAGAAGGCAACAAAAAACATCACGCTACGCGGAAACGTTCCCAAATCGTCGGTGAGTTCTCGTTTGATAGCTTGAATCGCTCGTGCTTTTCCGGGTAAATTTATGAACAATGCAGGGTCTAATTCAAATAATTGTAAAATCACGATTATCTCGTTTGAAGGAATGATAGAAGAAATTTACATGCGAAATTCTGTCTTATTTCAAAGATGTTTTATGAGACAATAACATATGGATATATGAGATGAAGTATATAAGCTGAAAGATTTCAGCTGGTATGTATGCTATCGAGATTATGGCGATTTGACACAATTCCAATCGCCAGTCCATTTAAAACACAACTGTCAATTTAAATTTTTGAGGTTATAAGACATATGTTTGTTTTCAAGACACATATCAGATGATTTTCTGTCAAAATTATATTTTCTCGCTCGTGAATTCTGTTGAAATCATTTGTTTTGTCGACTGTCGATTTAGCAACAAGCATTTTATATTATTTAAAAATTTTTATGTGATAAACATAAGTGTACCATATGCAAGAATGTCATGAGAAATATTAAGTTAATATTAATAATTTTTCTCATTTAAAAAAAAATATTATTGTGTTTAATAGGCAGCTACTGAAAACTATTTATATAAAGAAAAACGTGAGATACTCAATCTATTTATTTATATATATTTTTTGTTATATTTATCTATAGTTATGTTAAATAAAATTTTTTTATTATAGAAATCGCAAGAAGAAGGATCTCCAGTCGGACCTTGGCTCTTAGCACTGTTTCTCTTTGTTGTTTGTGGATCTGGTAAGTATGCATTGATGATCTGTGAATATATAAATTTGTGATATGACTATATAGGTAAAGTTGTTTATAATCTTAATATCTTAACATTTTTTAAATTTTATTTTGCAAAGTATTTTTAAAATTTTTATTTGAATTTTTTGTACAATTTTTTTTTACATTTTGATTGTCAAACTCTTTTGAAGCATGTTTTAATTTAGGAGTAACATATATATTTTTTTGTCACAGCTGTATTTCAAATCATCCAAAGTATCAGAATGGGTTAAAGAGAAGAAAGGTGAAAGCTGCTGCTGTTAAGACGACAAAATGTTTACATCTCATCGATATATGCAAAAGAGACTAACAGACTGTTTTGACATAGATTGTAAAAAAGAAGAGAGATATTGCGGGACACAGAACATACCCACAATGACAAAATTTAGACAGTAACTGGAAAATTACTTTCCTTTCGCAGAAAGCTCAAAGATTTATTTATAACACTTAGCATTTATAAGCGTTTAACTTAATTATGCTACGCATAGACGAAAGGAGAATACTCACACGTACAAATGATATTGTTTAGTAAGAAAAACTTGTCAATCAAACATATAAATTGAAAAAGAGAATAAATTATTTGTTTTTATATTTAATTCTTTACTGTGATTTGAACATTTGAAATAGTATTTCTGTTAATATAATTTTTTCCGCACTATGAAATGTATTCTTTCGTCCATGTGTATGTAGTGAATAATTGTACATAAATGAATGATTTATCAAATTTCTTAGCAAGTTTGTCCAACAAGTAGTGCATGGACTCGACTTTCATAGTTGGACGAGCCTGCTCTAAAGCATTCCACTGTAAGCAGTTGGTAGCTTTTTGTTATAATGGCCTTTGTACGACGTTTAGGCATTTTAGGCGAGACGCACCATAGGTCATTATATACTTATACAAATATATATTATGATATACACAAACATCAAAGAAATGATTTGTCTATATGAAATATTTGCTACTGACAGTACATTGTCTCTTTTAATAAATTACATTATCAATAAAGATACATATTGTTTTACAGGAGCTATTTTAAGCAACTGTTTCTCTATTGAGATTCTGTCTTTATCAATAATTTATCTATTTGTCATCTACTTTTTAGTCTGAAAAGATTTATATGTATTTTATTTTATTTATTTTATATTCTCGATTGCATGTTTTTTTTTTCTTGAGTATTTTTTGAATGTGACGTCTTCATGTTACGATCTTAATTTATTATTCTTTCAGTAGTGGATGAGTTGCAGTTTTACTAGATTATTTGTATTATATATATATATTAATATTATATACAATTTCATTTCAGTTTGTATTTACAACTCATTGATATTAGTCTCCTTTTATTCTAATCAGTGGCTAATGCTCCATCTATATATTCTTATGTCTATGCTCATTACTTCTAGATCTACCAACCACATTCATTTTCTAGAAATCAGTTGTTTAGGGTATATCCAGATAAACTTGCCTAGCACATAAGTATACGCATAAGGAAATGGATTGGTCCATAAGCATATGCATGTCTGTCTGGATGTACCTTTAACCATGAAATTTTCTGAAATCAATTTGTTTGTGAATACAGCATAAAAATAAATCAAACATGTCAGATTGCGCATGCGGATACCGGTTGATCTTGTCATCTTTTGTTTTCAAATATACATCGAGTTCGCCGGTTGGGTTGTTCCTCGTCGTACCCTTGTGCCTATAGCACTTGGGAAGAAGATTACATACGATAATTACGATAATTATACACGAGCGATCTGTAGGTGAATTTGCGAAAACTCAGTTGTATGTGTTACACATAATCGCAAAATGTCCAATATATTTAAATTATTGGGCGAAATCGCCGAACCTGACAGAAGTAAGTGTTTTTATGATGCTAAATGATTTTTGAATACGTTAGATTTAAATTATTTGACTTTATAAAATTATATGAATCACAGAGCATCCTAAAGTGAGTCTTCACATAAATAGAAAGATTTTATTTTGTTATAATGTTTGAACAGAAAACATTGTTAACAAACTGAAACAAATAATGAAAAAGGCATATATAAATCTATATATTAATTTTTCTATAGGTCAAGCAATGAATCCTATTTTAAGATCTAAAACATTTCATGAAATTAAACTGAATAAAGGCATGGGAGGTACAAAACCAAAAGGGTTATCAATAAGATCCAACTCTGATATGAATATATCTCACAGCCCACATCTTGGCAGTGCAAAGAAAAACATATATGATAACAAAGAACAGGACTGTATGAAGCTGAAAGTAACACAACTAGACAATCGCGGATGTCCTGTATCTCCAGGAAGGAAAACACTTGGAAAGGTAATAAAATTTGTTTTGTTTTCTGAACATATAGAAAATATAATGTATATCGGTTCTTAGTTTTTAATTTTAATAGAGATTTAACATATATTTTTACAAACTTATCAAATCTACAAATCTAGTCTGTTATCACAATGTTATTTGTGATGTTTCTCTTGCTTTGTAGAAGCTAACTTCGCAACCAGTTAAATTCAAAGAGTCTTTGAAAGAAGGAACACCGATTATGAAAGATACAAAATCGCAAAAGACATTGAATGATGGCATTTTTAAGAAGCCATCGCTGCCTAAAAAGAATGTTAAAAAGTTCCGTGAACCAGAAAAGTTAGCATATTGGTATGATGCTCAAGAAGAATTTGGTATGTGAATAATTATACAACAGAAAATAATATCGAATCGTATTATTAAGATCACTATTGTGAAATTTTATGAATTAATTTTAGATCATGGCTACATTGAAACTATAGAAAAGGAGTTTAAAAATTTGCTCTCCAAAGAGAAAGAGAATATAAAACCCAACAAAAAGGAAAAGCTTGTATCAGGTATGAAGCTAGATATTATGTAATATTTGCAAGCATATAATTTATCATTAATTTTAAATCTGTTTTAATAGATCCAGAAATGTTGGTTTTTTCAAATATTCCAAAACTTGTTCTCGATAAATCTTTCGAGGATTATAAAAAATTATCACCTGTTGACCTACCAGAAATGTCTGACTTATCTGATATCGACAACTTATAGTTATAAAATAATCGTCTTAAAGTTAAATCAATATTATAGTAACTTATTTCTTTTAATTTAATACATATTTTTATATATACTAATATAATTAGACTTATAATAGCACCTGTGTGCATAATGTGTTATTTCCGCATAATTAAAAAAAATTGAAACGTTTAATATATATAAAATCTAATTTTGAATAAAAATGATAATGTATAAGTTTTTTAAATTTTGTCTTTTACTATATATGTTTCAATCATTTTAATTATTAAGTGAAGTGATTTTTGGTGTCAATATCTATTTAAAGTGTTGTAAACTAAATATGAAATGAGCAGTTAAAAAATAATTGTTTTATACGTGTTTTTTTTCGCCAGAAAATTGTGAAAAAAGTGTGAAATTTAATCAGATATCGCTCACAAGACAAATTTTTGTCAATAGATGACAATAAATCTGGTTTTCGCAAGGATGATTGAACTGCACAATCATTTGGGCTTAGTAAACCCACGGACCTGAGCTTACGCACCGTGGTCATACATAAATTACACATTCACACATAAATAATTAAAAACTTTAAAACAGTTTAAAATTGCGAGTAACGTAAGAATTTTAAAAGAATTTTACAGGAAAGAATTATTCGATTGGCAGATGGGCTCGATTCTAACGCCATCTTTTTTCATTAAGTCAATAGATCTTGTGTCAGTACCTATATAAATCTCCAAATAATTTATAATAGTATAGAATAATTGTTGTTTCGTCCAAAATCCAGCACAGACGCATGTTAAATATTTAATAGAGATTAATATCTTTAATAGAGATTATTATCTCATATCTAGAAATGTGAAGTTTTACATCCGTAATACATGAATGATTTTAAAGGTTATGTTCATATTAACAAAAACTTTGATTCTGTTATTAAAAACTTTATTGTAATAAAAAAGTATTTGCTTGTGAAGAACTTATGATAGCTGTATAAGTGTGAGTACATTAATGATCCAAAAACATTGAGAGAAAAACACAAAATGGAAGTGGATCAAAATATTGCACAAACTTTATTGATGCAAGGTGCTACGCTAGTTTTATTGGATGTACCGGTGGGTACTGACATCGGCATTGATATAAAGTCTTGGAATACAGGAACGAATTTTAAGGGCATTAAAATGATTCCACCTGGGATACATTTTGTGCATTATAGGTAACACAAATGATTTTGAATTTTATGTGAAGATATAAGAACTTGTGCAATTATATTTTATGTATATTTTTTGGGGTTTACCAAATAATTCAGTATTTATTTTTACAGTGCAGTGAATGAATTTGGCGAAATGATGCCTAGAGTTGGTTTCTTCCATGACTTCAAGAAATGTGAATTCTTAGTAAAAAGATGGGATAGTAAGGAAGAAGATATCAGCTCTGAACGTAAGAAAGTAATATTATTATTAGTATTTGAAATCTATGCATAAGTTTGAAGTTTATACAAGATTTTTGAACAATAGCTGTATCTGAGGAAACAATTCAGAGACTGAAGGATAACTTGAAAGAGTTGGACAGATATTTAGGACCATATCCATATGAGATGTTAAAACAGTGGACCACATTAACGAATGGAATTACTGTATCTGTTGCAGCGAGGTGCTCACCACTGTGTGGGTAAATAAAATAAATTTTATCAATGTAGAATGTAACGTTTTGTTTTCTAATATTAATTAAACATTGTCTTTTAGTTACGTGCGATCCGCTTTGGAATTGGAGCACTGCAGTGATGCCTCTAGACCACGTGGCGGAGCATCCTGCAGTAAGCAAAAACGATTTCGTAGACTTACTGAGGCTAAGGAGGATCAATTATTGCCAAACCTGAAACCGAAGCCTGGCACAGAACTTAGGCTCACGGAAATACCGAACAAGCATTATCCCGATAATGCAACTCCGAGCGAGATAACGCGGCATTCTCTCGATTCCAGTTACGCCTTGGACACTATTCTTAAAAAATTGCGAGAGTACGTTTGGAATCGATACTTGTTTAAAAATTAGGAAACAGAAAGTTCGCAGAATGTATGTTTCACATGAATATCTAAAAGACAACGCTTGTATATTTTTAGGCCTATCGAAATTATTGGAGAAATGCAGTTGACATTTATTTGTTTTCTGGCGGGTGAAAGCTTGGACGCTTTTGAGCAGTGGAAGAAGCTTGTGTCGTTGATCTGTGGTGTAGATAGTGCAATTCCGCAGTATCGGTCTGTTTACATAGAGTTTTTACAGACCCTAGAAGTACAGCTGTCATATGTGCCGGAAGAAGTGCTATGCGACATTGTGGCAAGCAATAATTTCGTGTATCACAATCTATGCAAACTGTTTGGTAATATCGAGTCGAACTCGGAAGTGGACGGCCGATTGAAATCTTACGCGAAGCGTTTGCAGGATCGATTAACTGCGAAATTTCTGTGGGATTTTTCGGATTTGCTCGAGGAGGCGGACGATGAAGTGCCTGTAGTAGTGACTCTGACATAAACGTGAATAAATAAGTAGCAAGGTATGAATGCATTACTGTTTCTATAAATAAGTATATTTATATATAATGTATACAAAATGGATTATTCAAGCTCTGACATTTCTATCTGTGTTAATGAATTTTTATTTTGTTTCATTTTTATTTTTTTTCCTACCGTAACCTTCCTTTAATCCTCTTCTGTCAACTTTAACTGATTATTCTTAATTATATTTAGGTTTATTAGAATAAATCTCTAAAAATTTAAATTGTATAATAACAAATATACAGAAGTAATTTAATGAGAAATAATATTTTTAAGAATAAAGAAAAAGGGCAAAAAAAAAATAAAATGTTTCCGCCCGGGATCGAACCGGGGACCTTCCGCGTGTTAGGCGGATGTGATAACCACTACACCACGGAAACGTGCAGGTAGTTTGTTTCCACTTCTTATTTAGCGTGCAGTCTGATAAAGTAATGAATATAGGATGTTTATTTTAATCTTTAAAATACAGAAAACTTATTAAAAGTTTCTTAAAATATTGCTAATTAATTATTTATTCAAAGTACGATTTATTTATGCATAACATAATAGAGAAATATATTAATATAAGGGGGACTTAATCGGAAATAAGATAGTTTATTTTTTTGCTATATTGTCTTTATTTATATTTATATTATTTTATAATTAAGTTTCCATATTATATTCTTTTCTCATTGAAGCGTTATGATGCGTGTGGATACTTTGATCTTGAATGGAAATTTATTTTATAACTCCTCACTTTCTTTAATCTCTACATTATATACTTCTCTGGACCTCTGGACCTCCGAACGATAAAGTCGCTAAAAAAGTAAATACGTTATACAACTGAATTGCTTCTTTTTCTTTATTCTTGCTAATACTAATATGATAATGATTACTGAATATAGAAGCAAAACATTCTTTAATTTTTTTGAGTCAGAAGCTCTACCTTGTTTCTTCTATGTGCATTATATAGGTACAAGCAAAAATGTGCGACAAAACTAACATTTTTAATTTATAATTTGTAAAAAAAAATCTAGAGTTTTTTTTTTATTTACATTTACATATTTCATATATCGAGATATTTCATAATTTTATCAGAAATCTTGAAAAGTGAAGAATGTTAATTTTATCTCTTTATTCTTTGACTAAAAGTGGAAATAAGAAAAATATTGCGATTATTCTTTTCGGATTTTTTATCGGAAAATATTGATTATTTCGTAAATCATACAAAATTACATTCTTATTAGTATTGTAAAACTTACCGCCACTTTTTGTCGCTATTCGAGTTTGCTCATTAGAAAATCCTCGATCTTTATCGGTGGAATTTTAACTTCCGATGGCACAATATTGTCTTCTGTTTTATCATCTAGTTCATTTCGTACAATGTTTTCTTCAACTTTCCTATCTATTTTATTTTGCACAATTTTGTCTTCGATCTGATCATTTATTTTGTTTTGCCGTTCATGCATCGAAGACAATTTTGAATGCAATGACAGTTCCTTATATGGAAAGAATTTAATGCATAAAAATGATTTTGCAATGCTATTTGATTAAGTTGTTAACAATTAGCTAGTATAAACTTTATCCAAGATTTCGCAAATACTTACGTCGACAAAGTTATACCCTGGAACCCACTAAAACAGATACTTTTATTGCTTGGTATGTCTTATATCATACCATTATATAATATTTTAAAAAATTCGTATTTTATTTAAATATTTTCAACATAATTAATTATTTTCAGCTTTTTACTTCGTGTTTTACAACCATTACTTATTCTATAAATTTTGGCATTACAACAATTGATAATTAGTCACATTTTTGGGGAAATATGTATTATATTATGTATAAACTAACCATTTGTTTGTTATAATCGTACGTCCATTGTTTCGAGGATACTGCCACGATGCAGAACACAAGTAAACTTATCGTCAACGTTTTCATCTTTTTCTGCAAAATTTATGTCTATAACAGATTTAAAATTAAGTTTTATTGTCGCTAGTGTCATATTCAAGACACGCAAAGTCAAATTATCCGAAAAATTAAAAGAATAAAAAGACATATTGAGTATTTATAGATTATTGCGATGCAAGAGTTCGAAAATAACTTGTCTTAAGTCACCTGATTTTCTTTGGCAATAATATTTCCTCTTCCTCGCGATTACACTCGTCAACTATCACTCTCAAATAAACCATGAGAAATAATTCTGCGAGTCGCTTTATAATATATTAATGATGGCATTTTTTGTTATTTATTGATAACGCTGTTTAGCGTATCTATTTCGCGCAGTATTTTTCACCCTTTTGACTCGACGCGATAATATGCAGAATAGATACGGCAGTTACAGTTATTTAACATATTAAAGAATATGAACAGCTAGACACAGCTTGAGTAGATGATAGAACTTTATTTTTTACTTCAAAATTGCTAATTTTGGTATTGTCGCTGAAAGGTGTTAATCCTTGAAACTCGGAAATATAGTTTCAGATTTTTCAAGCATCAAAAAATCGTAACTCTATTAATTTAGTTCTGAAATTCTTATTCGTGAAAAATTCCATTTCAATTCGTTTGTTAATCCGTTGTTAACAAAAATAGCATTGGATACTTTGTATACAAACTCGTATTTTCTGCATATACGATGCAATATTTTTAATATTATATTTGCATGTTGCGTAAATTGTTAGAATGCAAGCTGAGCATTTTTCGAGAAATTGCGATTACCGAGAATTCGCATGCAAAAAACATTGTATTTATAAATATGTTTATAAATGTCTCAGAGAATGACTAGATATATTTCGATGAAAAATGATTCGTATGTTAAATACATTAATATTCGATAGGAATATTATTCATTCAGGTGCAGAGGCGGCAGTTTCAAGAGCTCGTTTTTCTGCGGATAAAAGAGTAATTTTCTCGCCGTATTTCTCACGAAGACTTTGAAACAAGGATAGCTGGGTCTCATATTCCTTCTTGAGATCGGCATTGAGTCGCATTGCTGCATCCATTTTACTGATCATTGCGTTATGTCGATCGCGTTCCTCTGTGATTTTTTTCTCCATATTGTCGACTTCAGCCTGCAATTTGAATTACATAGTTGAGAGTTACAGTTGAGTCGATACATGCTATCATTTACAATTTAAAGTTGATAAGAATGCATTTTGGAATCTTTGAAAAGAATAAATAAATCGAAAGGCATTAATTCGGGTATTTAATTCGCATGTTTGGAAAATTGATTCTGAATTCTTTTTTATTCTTAAAAAGACATAAAGAAACTCAGAAGGAAACTTTTAAGATAAAGTCTGCTGTCTGGAAAAATGTTATCTTGCTTGGGTTATCCTTTGAACCTTATGCAACTTATGACACATCTCGTGACTTAAATGCTAGAACAGTCAATGTCATATTTTAATCAAAGTAAGATATACTGTGTAAATTATAGCATACAAAATCTGAACTGTAACCATTTAATTTTCAGTCATAGAACTAATTTTTCTACAGTCGTGTTTGTTAAAATTTATTGTGCAGATTATTTTATTTTGACTAAAAAGATGACATTGTTCTTGCATTAACACTTGTATCGCGAGAAGAGTATTTGACTTTTAAAAGATTTTTTTAATGATGTCAATCACACGAATTACACGCTGCATAATTTTTCGATTTTTAATAATATAAGTCTTAACCGTTTTGTCGTATTTTACAGATTGTAAGAAACATCAGAAGGAGTCATTCGAATTCTGTACTCTTCTCATTCGGTACATTGAGCCACAAAAGTATCGTCAAGAAACCGAAATTATGATGGCTGACTCACTTGCAACTGTTTCACCTCTATGTTACGGATCTGCAGCAGATCCCGTGTGATCGACACCACTTCCTTCAATGAAGTCACTTGATTATTCAGTGCGTTGATCTGGTTTTCTTGGTTGGCGACCATGCGATTTCGTTCTTCATACATTAATGCGGTCTGTGCCAGTTGTCCGCGCAATTGTTCCACCGATCGTTGCAGGATGTCTTCATCACTACCATGACTTGTTATCGCGTTGTAGGATGCCTTTAAAGCGGCTAGTTTTGTCTCCGTGTCTTCTAGCTGGTTTCGATAACTGTCGCGTTCCTTTGTCCTTTTCTGTCAATCGTAAAAATGATTGACGTTCGAAAATTTTCAGAAGGATTGAAAGATCTTCACGAAAATGGAGAATTATTTTACAAAAAGTCTATAAGAATGGCAAGATTCTCGCGAGATTGACTGTTTTCAATTTATCGTAGAATTTTAATTATTATAATTTATCGAACTAGTAATTAATTACTAATAGCAATGAATTGATTTAAGTATTCTAGAATAAATCTGTAAAGTAAGAACAATTTCAATATTTTGAGAAGAATTTGAGAAAGAGATGTATAGAAATGTGTGAACACTATAAGATAATTCTTTACTAAAAACAGGAGATTTAACTTCGTTATCGGACTCGAGGAGTGATTTGTTTCTTTCGGGAAAGTCCACACTCTCAAAGGATTTTCTCACCCGCACTTCCGCCTCCAATCTGGATATTGTGTTGTTGTCTTTTGGATTTTGTCTCGGCTTATCAGCCTAGGCAATAATAATCAATAAATTATATAAAACAATAAAAGTTCATCAATTATATATTATTTTCTGTTCACCTTTTCTTCAATAACTGACTTTTGCAGCGTCTCTTCGTTTTGAAGAGTGGCCGCAGCTAAGTTTTCAACTTCTGCAGCAGGTTTCTGTACATCAGTTACATTTTCCGGAACTGCGTGGACGATATCCACGATTGTGTCAATAGTTTCTGCGGAATGTGTGTCCGAATTGGCGATTTCTTCAGCAAGAAGCACATTCGCGCTATTTGTCACCTCAGCCGAACGTTCGGCTTCAGTTTGTGCACTCAATGTTGCAACCACTTCCTCGGGTGCAACTGCATTTTCTGGCACTACATCGGTGCATTCCGGTTTGACAGTCGTTTCGGAGATTGTGCTGTCCGTGCAATCGATCTTCCTCGTTTCGGCAACCGATGCATCTCCGCCGGCCGTGGGATCTAATTCCTTTACATCAGACATCTTTATTTCTCTCTCTCTGCAAGCAAGATGAAATTTGTAGTGTTGTATCGTGAGGAAGAATGGGTTTTGGTTCTTTAACGAGAAGTCGATTAAGTCATTTTTCATTTGTTCGCGTCGTGTTTTCCATCATATTTCAAGCGAAAAGAATGTCGTATTTAAATCCTTCGTTTGCGCGTAATCACTTTTAGCATGCACTTATTATAGATTATAAATTGTATGTCAACGATTCGATCTTGCAAGTATTAAAAGTTTTTCTAGGATATCTTTAGCAACAATTGCTGATTGTGAATTTGCTATAAGTTATAAATGATTTATTAAATGAAGCAGTGTACATATACATACGTATCTCTCGTCCAAAATATTGTCTCTCACTGTTAACCGGAACGACTGGACACGAACAGCTAGGCAGATGCCTAAAGTATTTTTGGCTGTTCGTCGTTCGTTCTATTTCGAGCTGCACTGCACACTTTGATAATATTCAAATATCAAGTTCTACGATATATAATTTTTAGGTTTACGCAGATTGAATTATTTTTATGCGTTTCTCTTATTTGACGTTATATAATTTAAATTTTGTAAGATTTAAGAATTATATTTTGCAGAATGCAATTTGGCATTTTTTTCGAAAATTTATAATATTTTTAAAAAATATTGACTTTATTTACTGAAAAATGCCAAACTCTATATTAAAAATCTTTTATCAATTATAAAAGTCTTAATTTCGTACATTAATATTTTCAAATGTTATATATTATTTATAGCAGTGTTACAAATATTTGAAAAATTACTGTGCGCTGTGAAGCCTTTATTCGTCTTTAAATGTTTATTACAAAAATTACACAATTTACAAACACGATTTTTTTTTAATCTAACTAAAATTAATAAGAATATAATTCTTTTAAGAGTTATCTTGAACAAGTTTTGAATATTTTAAGTATTTTAAAGTGATTTACTGTTTATATTATATTACAATAATGCAAAATGCCAAATGCCAAAATATGTGATTATTGCAGAGAATATATAAATAATTATAAATAATTAATATCTCACAAGTAACAAATAATGAAAAGCTTTATAATGAATAAATTATTTATCTTACAGATATTTTGTCAAAGCTTGAAGGCAAGACGCAGGTACGCTGTGTACGTCGTGTTTTGAATCGAAAGAAACGTAAAGAAGTTAGCGCCAAAATTTTCAACGCGGTGGTTGTTTGCCTACGTCATGGTGTACGCTCGCTGTTATTTGCGCGCCAATACTATGCATTCACATGGGGGCGCTCGACAGAGCAGGGGAAATTCGCTCCATATTGCGTGATTATATTTCAAGTCGCGATCGTAATAAATATTCGAATATTACTTTTGACGAATAATTGTCGATTTACGATTTGTACAAAGTACTTTGAGTTTAGCATTGCCGTGGCGGGAGGCACGCAAAGTTAAAACGCGCAATTTTCGTTTTCTCTCTGTCGCTTACCCGCCTGCTCCAGATGTCTCAAAGCAGGGTTGGGAAGTAACTCGTTACTTGTAACGAAGTTACAGTTACAGTTATTTTTTTCGGTAACTATAACTTAACTTTGTTCCTTTTTCTTCATCTATAACTGTAACTTAACTTAGTTACACATTTATGGTAACTAGTAACTAATTTAACAGTTAATTTAATATTCTATATACGGTTGTATTAATTGTAAGAATTAGGGCCTATTCAGACAAACTTGCATATTCGCATAAACATATGCATAAGGAAAGGAACAAAATTGTCATAGAATTTATCATATTAAGTGTAGATTCGATATTTGTTAAATAAATAGACGGATAAACGTATAGATATTAATTATGAAATTCAACAAAAATAAACAAATTTTCATTTAAAGAATGCACTGCCACCCAGTAATAAATTATCTTTGAGGATTATTATCATATAAGCATAAAGTTGAGATTTTAAGAAGAATTGAAACATTAGTCTACGATTTTTCAGAAAGTT